TGTTTAATAAATATTATAGTAGCTGGGAAATGACTTTGTTATGTTTCTGCTTGAAAAACACATTATTAACCTTTCAGCTATGCCTTCCATAGGTCTTGTGTGAAAGAGAATTTATCAAGTGAAGGCTTTTAAAGCACAGATATGTTTGGCCAAGAAGTTGCTAAAACTGTGAAGTAGATGCTGCAGAGTGTACTTTTATGACTGATTTCCATTCAAGTCAGACTGACTGCAGTGTGGTCATTTTTCTAACCCATAACTACTCTCGCCGCAGCAGCTTGCTATCTGCAGGGTGTCTGAATTATAGCAGTCCATGCCCATGTTACCTTTTACACAAATTACTTACACTGGTTTCTCTTTCCATGCAAATTCATCAGTTTTACAGCCTCTTGTCTCTGATGTCAGGAAATTCTAGCAGACAGCACAACTGATAAAATGAGTTAATTTTACAATCCCTTTTTTCCCTTCAAATTTTTATTCACCCATTGCACAGGAAGCATATTGTAGTTCAAAGAAGATTTCAAATGCGTGTAGAGTCTTTTTGTAAATTATTTCACAAATTAATTTCATTTAAAGATCATTACCGACTGGATTCCATTTTAATATCATTGTGTTCTTTCCATCCTGTTCCTTTAAAAAATGCATGGCTATCAATACATATCATTTCACCTGTTGTCATTAAACCACTACATGGAGGAGTCCATTGATTCCAGCATAAAGAAACTGTATGAGGAGTTTTTTTTCTTTGTGTTATCTATGATTCCTGTGCTTCACCTGTAGTTTGTAAGCAACTAACTCTAAATAATATTCCCTCTGTTGAGGACATAGGCATCCACTTTAGCTTTCATTTGAAAATAAGTTTATGCCCATGCAAAAGACCCACCAAAGGCAAGTTGGATAGGAGGCATTCAGAAAGACCTGGTGCTGGATTATACTGGGAATAATTACAGTGGGGACCCATAAACCCTGTGATGTTTTTGTAACCTCAGAAGAGGTTGTCAGTGGCCCATTCCCCCATTGAGGTTTTTGCAGATCAGCAATACCATATAAAATAAAGAATTGCCAGTTATTTTTAATGTTTGTGTCATGGAGTTCTGGGCATTTTAACTGGGGGTCATCCCATTTTTGCTGAAGAACAATCCTATAATATAGGTTAGGTTGGGAGTGATAGAGTGATTGGCCCAGTGTTTCTCAATCAGCTTCATGGCTAATCAAGGTTACATACTCATGTCTTCTTAGCATAGGTCTAACACTTTATCCTCTACATTACACTAGGTCTCAGGAGCTAATTATAGTTAGATTCCACACTTGCCTATGGGTACCCTTGTACTGATTCTGGGAACCTACCTAAGAAAGTAGATCCTGGGTTGAAGCTGTACATGGAAATTTTCAACCTATTTCAGTGAATTGTGCCCCTACACTCATAGCTATTCATGTACTGTGTTAGGGAGAGTGGTACAAATGAGAAGCTGTGTCAGGGTTGGCTAGAAACAAACAAACTATAGAGCTAAGTGGCATAATGGCCACATTCTATTAAGAGTTTTAACAATTTAAAATTAATATATAAAGATCACAAAAATGCATGGGCATAAGGCAGAGATATTATTTGTCACCAGAAACACCACAGGCACTCTCTAATGGGAGGCTCATATTTGGGAGTAGATAATTTTCCTTATCATTCATTGGTTACCAAACTAATGATTTATGACACACCAGTTTTAAACATGTCCACCGAATAATAATGTATTTGAGTTAGCATTTGGTGACAGGGAATCACTTTGTGTGGAGTGGTGGCTCATTCAGTGGTGCAGCTCATCCTTAACCAATATTTGGAAGCTGTGGCCATGTGAATGACAGAAAGCAAGCTAAGGCAGATGCCCTTGAGAAGAAGGATGTTCTTGAGAGATAGTTCTATGGAATTTAGATGGAAACGAATTGACCTTGTCCAATCAAATGATGAGCTTATGCATACTTCTAGGCACATCTTTGGTATTTGAAAAAAGGCTGGAATAGTTGTTAGGAATATATTTTACTGTATACATTTTATTCAGACATTTCTTACTGTCATAGGGAATATATTTTACTATATGCATTTAATTCAGATAGTTCTTACTGTCATAGGGACTAGCTACACTGATCCATGCTTTTGTAACCTCCAAACTTGACTACTGTAACACATTCTCTGTGAGGCTGCCCTAAACTTCAGCTTGTGCAAAATACAGCAGACCCTCTTTTGACTAGCGCTGGGAAGCACTTGGAACATAACACCAATATTATGATTGCATTGTTTAACTATTTATTTTTGGGCTCAGTTCAATGTGCTTTGAGGGTGTTATTGAAGTATGTAGACCCACTTGATCCCCTGCAGTTAGCCCAACACCACTTTCTTCCAAGAAATAGATATGGTCCTCACTACATTAAATGGTCTGGCTTCCACCTTATATAACAGGTGAATGTACAAAGAGAATTTTTGCCAGTGAGATTTTGAAGCTTATTGTCACTGTTTTTTTCAAAATGCTTTTGTTTTGCTTCTGTTGAGTTATATATGCAGATTCCTGTCAATCTGATTTTTAAATTACATGTTATAGTTGTAGCTTTTGGACTATGGTCTGATTATCATCACTGTGTTGTAATTTTAATGTTAATGATACTGGTATGGCCACATAGTACCATCATATAATGGCCTTATGAGACACCATCGCCTACTACATGCAACAGCACTTTATATATAAATTTGACTGTTTTTCTGAATTTTATACCATTGCATTATTTAATGCATCTATGTTTTATTGTATTTATTATATTGTATTTTAATTGGTTGTAAACCGCCCTTAGCCTGCCCATGCGGGGAGGGTGGAATATAAATCAAATAAATAAATAAATATGGTCTGATTATTAGCCACCCCAGACAAAGTAGAGAGATACATACACACACATATTTTTTCAGTCAATGAATAAACATGCTTCTGGTGTCACTTGCCTCCAGTGAAGTTTAGTGCAATTTTGTAGTGTAATTTGTGATTCACTAAGTCAGCAAGTGATAACCCTGCATGTATGAACCAGCCCTAATAAATACCTGTGAAATTTGGATGAATACATTTCTATCAGGGCCACCAAGGAGGGGGACTGGAGGCACAGAAATCCATGTTGCCCATGCCACATTCAGAATGCATCCTGATTTATTTTACTTCTAATGCAGTTCTGCACTGCAGCCACTAGGGGTGCAAGGAAGGCAGAGCACAGTAAACAGTTCTGCTCCTGGTGCCTTTCTACAAAGTTTACAACAAGGAGGCAAATTCTTGCATATCCTGCTAAACCCATCTAGCAAGCCTGGACAGGAGCATGGTAAGACCAGCTAGAACAGCTCATGGCTGCCATAATCATTGCCAGGCCGCAGCCTTCTAACAAGATTATTGTTTCCAGCAATCTGTTTCTCTCTTTCTTTCCTTCCACCCATCTCCATAGTTTTATCTGTTCAGCCAGATCTTCCTTGTTAGTGTGTTGTAGAAAATAAAATAACCTTTCCTATTTCTCTTCCTCTTTTCCTCACTTTTTTCCATTTTGCTCTCTTCATAACATAATTTTGCTCCCCCCCCTTCTAATCCCCCCATTTGTCAGTATTGGCCTCAACCCCTCATCCCTATCTTGATTGGCAACTTGAAGTATTTAATAGTAGTATAACAGCAGACCCTTGTTAATATTATGAACAGAAATGTGGGAGGTAATATTTCCCCAGGATCTGTCAAAGTAGTAAAAGGATCCCCCCTTATGTACATGGTAATGGAATATTAATCTAACAGTGGTTACACAGGTGGAACAAAACTCTTCCCACCCCCCATTATATTTAATTACATTTCAACACTTTTTAGGCAATGGGTTGTTGTTGTATTGGTAGGATATATGATATCCTTTAGAACATGCTACTTTGCTACTGTAGACATTAAGCTTCAGGTTATATGACAAGTGACACAATCTCTTTAGAAAATCAATCCCAATTATTCCAGTACTTCTCATCCAGCACCACTACATAATCAATTTGCCCCTGATTTTGTGCTAGGTAAATGTACACAGGTAAATTTAAATAGATTTCTTACAGATTAATTTACTAAAGATTTATTATATAAACATTTTGTGAGCTACAGTCCTCTTCATCAGATGTGAGAAGTGTGTCCTGTATTGGTACACATGTGTATATGTGTACAAATATCACAAAATTATACACGAGGTTTGGATTAGGGTCATACAGAGGGGCCCAGATGGAATCTTTGTCCAGGGGGCCATGTTGACTCTCAACAATCCTGATTTCTGTCACAATAGATGTTCATATTTTCCCAGCAAAAACATTGTACTTTAAATTATGAGGAAATATTATTTACTAGCAACAGAGAGCAGCAGGTGAGAAAGAGTCCCTTGGATCTCCTACAACTACTGTACATTTCTTCTGCATTAAAATGGTAATTTGCCTTCAGTCATTTCTTATGATGATGACACTAGATCAATATTCTTGATGACAGGAAATTCAGAAACTTCCCTTCTCCATAATGAAGGCTATGTGCTTAGTAGTATCCTTGCTAAAAACTAGTTCATTCCACCCATTTGTAACAATCAAGAGACAATGCAACAAAAAAGACCTAATGATGGTTGTGTGGCCATGTTTGTAAGCTGCCTTTGGCCAACTAAACGAATAAATTAATCACTTACCTAAGAGCAAATGAGGAAGATTTTGCTATACCCAGTAATATTAACCAATATCCCTACAATTTTTGAGAAAGAGAAAAAGACCATGGTGCAATCAGATTTTGCCATCAGAAAAAATACCTTCAAAGAATACCTTGATTACCAAGTTGCATAATGAACTTTTAATCTTCCTAATTACAGTGTCAGTTAACTCATACCTTTCTACCTATGAGCTGGGTAAAGTCATTAAGGTGAAAGTGAATGTTTGAAATGTAATTATTCTTTTTTCATGTGACTTACTGACTTCCTTTTCTTTATTTCCCCAGCACCAATAGCCGCAGGAACAGGCCCTAATTTCTCACTCTCAGATTTGGAAAGTTCCTCATACTATAGCATGAGCCCCGGAGCAATGAGGAGATCTTTACCAAGCACCTCCTCTACCAGGTAATTAATTCTGTGCAAGATATTGGGGTTATGGCTATGCAGATATTTCAAAATCAGTAATGCTGTCATTTGATACTTAAGGTTCTGCTTAAGACTCTGAGGCTTTCTAAGAATAAAGTGAAGTATCTATTAATGTGTCTCAAAGCCCTTTGTTTACATTCTGCATTTTGGAAAAGTTACTGAAGATCTAATGAATATAAATTAGAAGCAATTTTCTATAGGTGGAGTAGAAGTGATAAAGGAGATGTTGGCCTATAATTCAGAACTTTTTTGGAAGAGTCTTAATGGCCCAAGTGGCCTGACCCCACTTAATGGAACTGGCAGTTAATAGACTGAGGCCCAGTTCCTTCAAAGTGCAGATACTGAATTTGCCTGGTTGAAAGTGTTAGATTGGCACGGGGAGCTGCTGCACACAAATGGCTTGCCACATTGATATGATTCCATGCTGTTGTGTTTCAAGCAGCAATCATGCTGCTATTTGCACATCTAAATTAAATTGGGACTAATCCAGGAAGACTCAATTTGTGAACATCTGCTCAGGTGGCCAGTTAGGTGTGTGCTTGTCTGGGGAGCTGAACAGGCCACACAGGGCCACACAGATGCACAGCAATCAGCCATTCATCTGTAATGGCTCACAAACAAGACCTGTTGCAGGGATCTGCTGAGCAAAATAGCCAAATGGAAGGCCATTCTTCTAAAGAACGCAGGTTGTTTTCCATTACAGTGTTGCTTTGAGAGAAACTAGGCTGGCAAAGTATGCAATAACTTCATGTAGTTTGTCACTCCTGCTGACTGTCGATTGAAGGAGAACTGCATGAAACATCACAGAACAATATGGCTTTACTGCTTGGCTCTGGGAAGGTCACAGGACTATGATAACTCTGAAGCAAGGGAGCCCTTTTAAAGTAACAATGTTGTAGGTCAGCTAACCTACAGTCAGGTCCAGGATGATGCTTCTGTGTCTAATGTAAATAAATCATATTGACTTTTTCTGGGCTTTAGGTACAATAACCTGTATCATATTGCAAGATGGAAATGTACTACATGGCTTCAGACAAACTGGTACCTAGCATCATAGTGTAGGTTTAAGGAACTGCCCTTTGGAATTCTGCTCTTTGATGCAGCTTTAGGAAGGAGTTGAATCTTTGATTCTAGGTTTCCTTATAGGTTTTCATTTTGTGGCTTAGATAGTAATTTGGATAATTTTTTTTATACATTGTACCACTTTTTTTTTGCTAGCAAGACAAATCTATCATGTATGCTATTTAGGACCTAGACTGAATTTTTACTTTCACTCATAGTGGATTAGGCATTTCAGAGACATGACAAGAAACTGTAATTTTAGCATGCTGTCTCCAATTTGAGGTGGAGGGTGCCTCACACATAACACATTTCCTATGAAGATGCAGCGGTTCTTCAGTCTAAGCCCTTTGGGTTGGACCCCGGGCTCTTTTTCTAGCAGGATGCATATTAGGCGACACACCCCTAATGTAGCCAATCCTCCAGGAGCTTATAGTAGCCTCTGTAAGAAGAGTTCTGTAAGCTCTTGGAGGATTGGCTACATTAGGGGTGTGTCGCCTAATATGCAAAGGGGTTCCTGCTACAAAAAGAGCCTTTAACAGAAAATGCTGACTACTACTGATCTTTCTCACATCCCCCTCCCCCCAGCAGTCATTTCTAGTTCAAGGAAAGTTTATTCCCAGGTTATGGAACTGTTGTGGATGGGAGTCTGCAGTGGGGTGGTGAAAAGAGATGAAATTACCTTCTCTGTCTTTTTCATCAGTTTAGCTCTGCTGACAGAGGAGGAAGAAGAAGGCAATCTCACCCCCTTCCCCCTCCTTCCAGCAGTCTCCAGACTCATTTGACTATTCAACCACACAGGTTCTGTGCTCTCAGCAATAAACTTTACTGGGGACAGAAAGGACTGATGGGAAGGTGATACAGGAAAGATCAGTGATCCTTGCTTCTGGATTTTGGGATCCGACTTATTTATTTCATTAGGCTTTGAGTAGAGTAACTCTACCTAGGATTGTCCTGTCTGTATAACATGTGCACCCCATAATTTGTAAAGGATTTACACATGCATATTTAGCTATATTAACTTGAGTCTTCACATTGCAGTTGAGTGCAGCTTCACATTGCAGGCTGTATTCAGCAAAATGAACACATGTGAGAACTTCATACACTCTCTTCTGTAATGGATACATACGATAAATGTAATGTGAAGAATGTAGTTCAGACTTCCAGTCGACAGAACAGCAATGGCGGACGCTCTCCTCACAACAGAGGAGGGTGAATCGCACACCAGTGGCCTGGAGGGGTGCCACCTCAAGTGACACCCCCGCGGAGCCTTTGTGATAGGCTCCAGGCCAGGGGGCTTTTGAGAGGTAGCCTCTTCGATGGCGTAATGCCGGAGAATGGAGGCTCCCCTCCGCCCCGATGGTCCAGTCACTGAGTGGCCTTCGGGCATAAGCTGGACTGACCGGGACAAGTGCCGGAGATCGAGTGGAATGGCGTAAAACCGAGCGTGGTCAGATAAACTGGCCAACAATGAACGTGAGTTCTGAATAAAAACTGAGTAGTTTAAAAAGTG